GTGGTGGCAATGGCTCATGAGAGGCTGCCCCTTAACTCATGTGTACACACCCCACCACCCCACCACCCTGCTGCCTCCAGCCCATGAGAAGGAAATGTTTTAGTGTTTGTAGTACTCCTAATCTTTATCTACTTTTTTTTTTTTTTTTGAGACATAGTCTTGCTAAATTGCCCAGGCCAGCCCTGAACTTGAAACTCGCCTGTCTCAGTCATCTCCTAAGTCACCTCGATTATTGGTGCATGCTCCCAGACCAACTCTCATGATCCTTATTTAAAATAGAAAAATGAAAAGCAGACCAAGACTACTAGGAAGTAGTGTGCTTCTTCTCAAAGACAAAAATCTCACTCTGTGTTTCATTTGCCAACCCCCAGCATTCAGCTTGCTTTGCTCTCTGACCTTCCCTACTCACTCAGGTCCCCTGGGGCCCAGCCCTGTCCAAAAGGAGGGGCCACAGCTGGGGGTGGTCCCTGACAAAGGTCCAGCCCAGACGCCTATCTACTCCCTTATCAGCCATGGTCCTCTCCAGCCAGTCAGACAAGACACCAGATATGAGAGCCCTCCAGGTCTAGGCGCCCAAGACCGCATCTTCCCAAGATAGCAGGAGGGCTTCCCCTCCCCTGGCCTGCTAGGCCTCCTCCCACTAAAACTCAAAATGATATCTGATGTCAAAGGTACCCCATGTTGATACTGTTTATGTAACTTGGCCAAAAAAAATAAAAAAGATTAGCCCAATAGAAAAACCAACTAAACCTCAGGGAAGCCAGTCTGACAACTGCTGCTCTGAGAGCCCCCGTGCCCAGAGGGAAGGCTCATGTTTTGTTTTGTTTTTTAATATTTGTTTATTTATGTATCTTTAGTTTTAGTGGACACATTGTTTTGTTTTTATGTGGTGCTGAGGATCGAACCCAGTGCCTTATGCATGCTAGGCGAACACTCTACCACTGAGCCACAACCTCAGCCCGAGGTTTGTGTTTAAGGCAACCCAAGAGAGCACAATGCACCTGGGGGCCCTGGGAGCTGGAACCATGCCCAGGGCAGTCCCTCTGCAGCCAGCAGCCAGCAATCAGTCCCTAAGCACCCCAGATGGACGAGTGCTCTACACACAGGCAACTTGCTGAGGCCCAGACCTCCAGGATGGAGCCCCCAAATCTGAGCTCAAAGCTGGGTGGCTCCTTGGGTTTCATTCAGTGGGGTTCAGTTCTGAATCCAAAGACTGACACTCAGTTGCCTCCCCCAGTGCTTCCTCATGCCACAGACCCTCTCCTTTGGTACCTCACCTCTACTGGCACCTCCCAGACCTTTCCCTTGACCCGGCTGTCTGTCAAACAACAGGGACGTGGATCTTCCATGTTCCTCCAACTCAACTGTACTAACCTTAGTACCCTCTCTCTAGCAGTCCACCCTCTTCCAGTAGATAGGGCAACCGAAGTCCCAGAGACCCCACCCTTGACCTGTTCCTGACTGTCCAATGGGTCACCAAGGCCTATTGATTTAACCTCTTCCTCTTGACTCTACCATTGTCTTTGACATCCAAATCCCTACCCAGTTCTGCCCATTGTTAATCAATCTGCCTGTTGTGTCTATCCCATTCCTTGACCTGCCAAGGGAACTCTCCTAAAGCACAGATCTCCTAAAGCTCCCGCTATCTTGCATCTCCTAGCGACTCTCTATCATCCACAACCTCATGTCCCACACCTGAGACGGCATCTAAGGTCACCTTTCTAGACTCATCTGGGCCCTTCTCCACTCCCCATTCTGGTCAGGTCCCAGGGCTTTCCCTGATGATCTTGATCAAAAGAAGCACTCTTTCTTCCTTGGTCACTCAGTAAACCCCACCGGTTTGGCCCTACCCAAGGAAAAATCTCCTCCAGCTGAAGAATCCCCTCCTCCACCCCTACCCCAGGTACCTAGGAACCTTTTTTTCTTTTTTTGGTACTGGTGGGTTGAACCCAGGGACACTCTATCACTGAACTATACCCCAAACTTTTATACTTTATGAGACAGGGTCTAAGTTGCTGAGGCTGGTCTTGAACCTCAGCCTCCAAGTAGCTGGGGTTATAGGCACTCAGGTACTTAGGAACCTTATAATGCCACTATCATTTTACCACAGTTACATGTTTTCATGCCGTTCTCTATTAGCCCCTGAGCTCTTCAGGATAGCTTTAGCTGTTGCTGGATGAGTGAATGAAATAAAATAGACAAGGTTTCCCAGGACCATGGGAACGTCACTCTTGTCTATCACTCTGAAACTACAACATTTAAGACCAGACCTCACTTTTTCTATGAGCACAGAGGACACAATGCAGTCTTAAAATCCAATCTACATACCTTACAGCAAGGCAAGGCATTGCCCACCAATAAAACAACACAACCACCACAGCAATGGCTAGTAGTTATCATTCACATTATGCTAGGCCACGTTATGTGGTCTGGACACATTTTAGCTTCATAAAGTCCTAAAATGAATCTATTTTATAAATGAAGTAACAGACACGGAGAGGTCATGTGACATGTGTAAGGTTT